ACCATCCAATATTAAGCCTAGTGCAATACATCATTCGATGCACCTTGAAAAGCTCTACAATATGCGTAATCAAAAACTGAACGAAGTCTGTCAGCAGGCTTTATGAGTTTAACACTAGACTTTCCTTCCCATAGGTCGTGGCTATGCCAATGGAACTCTAGTTCACTTTTTTCTATGAAACTGGAGAGGATCTCTAATCATTCATACATCATTCGATACCCTTCGACAAGCTCACAACATATATTAATCGAAAACTGAACGAAGCTTGGCAGCATTTTTTGGGTATTAAATACTGTTTTGTTACTGTGTAATTTATCGATAGAGGAGACAAATGTGTATAATTTATGCTAAAGAATCGTCTAATTATAACTTAAAATACGAATAGAAAATGAGAAACACTTTTATAGGTAAAATCCGGTGTGTTTTGCACGGACTGTTCCAATTACCCCACCCATTTACAAGTACTGCTCTAATTCCCCGCATGTGGGGAATTAGAGCAGTCGAGACCGGTCAGCCGCAGATCCGCTCCTGATCCTGAAGGAAATGGAATTTCGAAAAATGAAAATGACCATTCGGCAGACAATTACCTCCTCTACAACTCTTGCCAAGGAACTACCCAAAAATTTCTTATGCTAACTGAGAGAGAACGAAAATACGGAGATTTAAAAAAATACTGTTCTAATTACCCCACCCTACTCTAGTCGGTAACGACAGTTTTCCAGGCTTTTCTTGAAGTTTGTTTATAGAAGGTGATAGCATTTCGTTTTTTAATAACTTTTCAGACAGCGGCCCCAAACCAGAACTTGACCATTAATATTTAGCTTGTGTAAGTGAATATTCTCTTCGATATGAAAAAAGTGCCTTGTTTTTGTCAAACAATCATACAGAGATGGGCAAGTCACCACTTTTTCGAGCCTAAGTCAGGAGCCTTCGAGTCGAAGTCCGAGTCCGAGTCGCATCAAAAATTGACTCGAGTCACTTCGAGTCAGTTTCTAGAGAAAAACTTCCTCCTGATTCATTTTTCCAAGAACAGGTCTTTAATCCTGCCATATGACAAAGTGTTCTGCTTACGACGATACCCCCCCCAAATTTACTCTCGTTTTTTTAACGAAATGTGGTGTGTTGTAGGTAATCGACCATGCTGATGTCGAATATGATATTCATTTGGTCTTATAGGCCTTTCCTAGTGGACTGACTCGAAAGGGACTCGAGTCAGTTTATCAAGTTTATCGAGTCTTTTATCTCGAGTCCGAGTCATAGAAAAATGCGGCTCGAGTCTGCTCGAACTCTCCCATCTCTGCAATCATATTGTGAACCAGATAATTCAAAAATCAGGCGGTATCCTTTCGAAAAAATAGTCTATCTTAAAGTCCGAGTCTACCACTCCACATTCGTTGAAAATTGGAGAAAGGGTGCGGCTTTAATTAAGGCTATTTTAAATAGCTAACTTGTGAGAAAATCAGAAAAATTCTGATGTATCGTTTTGCTTTCGTTGAACAGAAAAAAATATTCATAATGAGACAAAATTGATAATTGGATTTGATAACGGATAAACTCAAACATTTTGCAAAAATAAGGATTGTGAGGGCGAAACGCACATCAGATTGTATGGCTAAGGAGCTGAATTGCAAATACCGCTAATCGTGTACCCATGCTTCTTTTGAATTTAAACGTTTATCTGGTAAGTCAAATAATTCGCGAGTATAGGTTTCGGTGACAAGTGAGAAAGGTATATCATCTGTGTAAAGTATGGCCTTATGTTCAAGTATCTTATACGGAAATATTAAACATTTATTGCCATCATACATAGTATGCAACGATGCAAATGACTTCATTTCCCAGTCGTCGGTCAATGGTTCCCAGAGCAGTTGAGATGTCAACGTATGACGACGAAAACGAAGAGGTGCGACAATTTTGCCAAATGGAATATTCGTTGTATTCAAAAGATTATTCATTTCATCTGTTAATCGGCTTGGAACATACCAATTATCAGCCATTGAAAGTATAAGCTGACCGCATTTGATATAAACATGACGATAACAGACGGTTTCATCAGAACTAATATTGAGTTGTTTTCGTTGTTCATCAGAGATTACTTTATGCATGCTTTTGTCTAATTCGACAACTACAGTAGGTGATGCCTTTGTGTCAATCAACTGATGATCCTGACACCATTTTTCCAATGTTTTTGTGGCACTAGCATGGGTTAACAATTGAACATTCAATGATTGTATGAGCGCCAAGATACTGACGCGT